GAAGAAGAAGAAGAAGAAGAAGAAGAAGAAGAAGAAGAAGAAGAAGATAATCACAAAAGGGAAGACATTGGTAGCTGGAGGAACTGGGGAAGGTCTTCTGTAGAAGATGGGATTTGAACTGAGCCCTGAAGAAATGGCCAGAGATTGCACTTCACTTGGCATAGACTTTGACAACCTAGGGATACTCCCATACTGCATTCTGTGATGAGGCAATAAAGGATGAGACAGATAGATGTCTTTATAAATGATATATAAAGATAAAGATAAATATGTATATACATATTTTATGTAAAAAGATCATCACACACATATATAATATATGTATACATATACATACATACATATATATATATATACGTATTTACACTAGACCTACAATATTATTAATGAAAGGAATCCCTTATAAAGAAATTCCTTCTACTAGTGCAGGTCAGTAAGTATTTTTTTTTATAGATCTGACTGGAGAGGTTAAGTAACTTGGCCAAGGTCATATAGCCAGTATATGACGACATGGAACTTAAACTGAGATCTTTGTGGTTCTACCCACACCATGCTATCTCTATGACTACACACACACACACACACATACACACATATGCATATACATATAACAAATAATTTTTTAAAATAACAACAATAAATGTCTTTTGTTTTCTACCACCATTCCTTCATGAGAAAAGCATCCAATTTCTCATTATGTATAGTTTACAAAGTATGGTTTCATGATTTGGAGATCACTTTGCACTAATTGGTTTACAAAGGCAAGTACAAGTGTGCATGTATTGGGGGCATAGTGGGAGGGTCAGCAGAAAGAAGAATTGCATTCAGCTCTTTTGATTTTCTTGGAGATGCCTTTCAATTCCCTTTAATATTTAGATATAACATCTTTGCCCCACTTCTGCCCTCAGAAATTTCCCTTAACTCCAAACACATATATATATACACACATACACATTAATATATATCCAGTAATTTATTGGGGTAAATCAAGAATGATGTTCTGATCATGATACCTCAGTGAATAGGAACAACCAGCCTTTTTATTTACCTGTTAATTGCCTGATTCAGAGAAAAACATACAAAAAAAAGAAAACTTGACTTCAACCCAAATCTATTATCTTTGTTGTTTGGGAACATGGTTTCAAGCAATTATTAAACCTTAGTTTTCACTAAGAACAACAAAAAAGATAATAGATAACCTAAGAAGTTTCCTGTAATGTGTTTTGACTTATACCTAGGCTTTGTGTAATCTACTAAATGAAATTACATGTATTTCCCAAACCTATCTTATCCACTGATATTTGAAGGGCACAGAGTCTTTAATACATTTGAAGAGAATGATTGTGAATGTCTAATACCATGAGATCATCATAACCTCAGTTAAAAGAGTAAATTATTATGGCACCAATGAATATAGTCACTAAGTTTTCAAGGTTACTTTCAAACTTCCAAAGATATTACAATGGTAATAGGATGCATCATGTCCTGGAGCAATCAAATATCATCAATTAGCAAAGGGCAGTTAGAAATTTAGCTAACAGAAGGAACATAGTTATTTTTTTTTTGTAATGAGAAAAATTGCACATATTCATAGTGATCAATCTTGAAAAAAAGGTAAAGATACAAAAAATCCCAAAGCAGCAAACTGACAGCTGGGCAGTGAAAAGATTAGCACGGGATTTGGTTAACCAGTAACAAAGCTTTAAGGCCAGCATTTTGAACATAAACAGATCATGTCTGGAATATTTGGCAAAATCTCCCCACACATGGCCAATTGTCCCCCTATTTCTTTCTTTCTGTTGTGTGTTTTTTAACATTGGAACCCACACACTTGCACCAATTCAAGCCAGCTGGGACTAATATCGAAAGCAGCTTTTCAAATATTTTTGAATCTCAGTAAATGGAGATCCAGGATTGGCAGTACTCTAAAGGCAAAATATAATTCTACCTCCATGACAAAACATGCCAAATGAGCACAGAATTTGCTTTCATTACCTTTTTACATCAAGGGAGAAATTACATGACTCTAGTTGCCAAATTTGGGGCTAATTCACAAATAGAAAACCCTTTTCAAGCTATCAGTAAATGGAACAATTGCTTTCTCATAAGTAACATAGTTCTCTATGATTTAAAATTTCCAATGCTTATTTTCCCTTAAAACAAATTGTACAGATTATATGAATAATGTTTATGTATGTACATTATTTGTTGTCAATGGAATGGGGGCAATGAGTTTTTTGTTCGTGTATTCCATCCATTTACAGTCTTCAGAGATTCCTCAGAAGGATTTCAAAAGGTAAAGGAGACTTTCTTTTCTTACAACCAATAAATATGACTTTAAACTGTCCTTTAAAATATACAGTTCTTGTTACCTATGTCATTCGTTAATTTTTCAGATGTCCTTTCTGTTTTGTTTTGTTTTGCTCTTTCTTTATCAGAGGTAATACTTTCATTCTAGTAACCATTTTACTTATAAACCAACATTGAATTCATATCTTGTGAAGTTGCAGAAATCTAAGAAACACCAAGGTAAAGGGAAAAATCAAAGGAAATAGAAAACACTTTAAATTGAAGTGGGTTGGCTCCAATGGGAAGTAGAATAATAGAGACAGGAGAGAAACATATTCACTGGTAGATGCCCAGAGAGTTGGCTCTTACCTCATGGTATACAGCAGGGTACCATCCTCGGTAATGCGAAGCAGCTTGTTTGGCATGGTCATATTGTGGGCCACAGATTTCTTCCCATTGTGAAAGAAGGTATCAGGAGTCCAAATTTTACTTGCCATTAGGTTATTTAACCGAAGAACAGTCATAGGCCCTTTGAATTTGAGTCTCTCATCCTTCCAGCTTTGGCGGAAAAATACATCTATTGTATATTCCTAAACAAATTTGGAAAATAATTAAAAAGTTTGATGGGCTATGTTTTGTACTGCAAAACAACTTATGATTTTTAAACACCATCGAGACTGAAGAATAACCAGTTTTTATTATAGTTTTTCAGAGAAAGCTCATTTTAATTTTGTTATTTTGGTGATCAAACATTATTGGTGTCATCATCATGATATTAACTGGTAGCTTTGCTTGTGCATGCTTGTATTAGAAGAAATTATATTGGAGGAAAAGTGGGAAATTATTCATTAAAACAATAACAGAAAGATCAACTGTGATATCTGAGGACTACAATATTTCTATTTGTTTTGTATTCATCTATAGATGATGTTACAACTTTCTCTACAAGAAAGAGATGTTTGTTTAAATGGTATTAAAAAAGAACAGCAAAAAATAAAACAGGAAACTGTATTGAGCAATATAATAATATGCGTATATATTGCTCATATATTGGGCTTTAAGATCTATTCAGCAATATATAAATAATCTCATTTGATCTTTGAAAAATTACGTGAAGGATGTGCTTGGACTCTTTGATTCACCCATTTAATAGAAGAAGAAACTGAGGTTCAAGAGATTAAGTAAGTTGTCCGGAGTCACACAGCTAACTAGAATGACAAAATTCAAGCCCAGTTTTTCCTGAATCAAAATCCAACACACTAGCCACTTAGTGCATTGGCTCTTTATAAATCATTCTTTCAAAGAAATAGATATTAAAACAAAGACAAGCATTAAATATGAAATAATAAACTTGGAGGGGATTTTCAGATTTTTATTTTAGCCATTCCTTTGTTAGGTCAACAACTAAATCATTCTAGACATATGAAGTGCTATTGCACTATTATTTCAAGCCTCATCTCTGCTACAATTTTACTTTTGTTCCTTTTCATTCTCTACTCAGTGGGAAAATACATTTTATTCCCTATCAAACTAGTGTCTGTATGTGGAAAAAGATATGGAGGACTTGGAGGAAAGGAAGACCTCTGTCTGCTAGTTTATTGTTCAATAAACAAAAGATATCTGTGAGATACATAAGATATATGTATGTAAAAGTAATGTGAGAAGCTCATTATCATTCTTTACCATATGAGGCCACCTTAGAATATATTTGAACAAACATTCCATTTTACTTGACAGTAGCTAGAACCAAACATCTATTAATCCTCAAACAAGCAATAGGACTTACCAGTACTTGAAACTGAAAAGGTTAATGTCCCCTTACAGTATTTGCTATCCTCATGCTGAATTTAGAACTAAAAGTCTTGCCCTTAAACATCCTTCATGAACACCAATATTAGCATTTCCCAAAGCGGAATGTAGGCAACCCAAGAAACACCATGGTGCTGTGTAAATTGTCTGCTTCCTCATTAAAGAGCCAAATATAAAGGATGCTACAAATAAGTTTTCCTTTTTCTCATTTTTCTTTCTCAATACAAAACAAAGCAATACCTGTCTTTGACTATGTTAAGGTGTTTCACTATGAATACTTCAGTCTACAGGACCCAGAAAGAACAAAGGAATGACGATATCATTATTGTGATGTAAAAGCAATTGTGTAAAGGTAAAAGTCCTAGACTTGGGAGTCAGCAGAGATACGGGTTTAAATCCTTCCTCAGATACTTATGGAAATGAATGATCACAGACAAATTACCTAAAATCATGATGGCTAAAATTAAAAGTTTCCAATGTCACTATAAAGATACAGTGGTCAAAGAGGGAGAGTTATCCAATCTGTATAAACTGCGAACAAAAAAGACATGATAAAACACCCCTAGGACATGTAATAAGTTCTAATTTTCCTACGCTATTTTTAAACTATATTTGCAATTTTAATGGTGTGGGGATCACCAGGAGCTTTATTTACTAATGTACATAGACCACTTCTCTGTAACTTAAATCTGATAGTCACCTTACCATTTATTAATAAGTTACTAAGTGCCAGGCTCTTGGTCAAAGAGTTGGAGATAAAATGAAAGGCAAAAAACTAGCCCTTGTCCTTAAGGAGTTCACAATCTAATGCAGGAGACAACATGTAAATAATTAAATCACTACGTACAAATAAGATATGTGTATAGATATAGATATAGATATAGATATGTGTTTATATAGTTAAGCACCAGAACTAGATATGGGAGATGAATCTCTAAGATTAAGAAGGACTGGGAAAGGCTTTTTGAACACAGTGAAACGTTAGCAGAAATTTGAAGGAAGCCAGGGAAACAAGGAGGCAGCAATGAGGAAGGAGAGCCTCTAGGCATGTGGAATAGGCAGTGAAAATGACCAGAGGCAGGATATGCAGTGTCTTGTGTGAGAACAGCAAAGAGGCTATTGTCATTCCATCACAGAGTACATAGAGGGGAATAAAGTTTGAGAAAGCTGGGGGGGAAAAAAACAGAATTTTGCCTGGGGCACTGGGAGGTTAAATGACTTACTTGGGGTCAAACAGACAATATGTATAAAAGGCAGGACTTGAACTCTGGAAGTCTTTATTCAGAGTTTAGTTATCTATACATTATATCATCCTGCCTCACACATATGCATGTAAATAAATATTTCTTGATTTAATAGTAGTACTAGTAGTTGTAGTAATAATAGTGGTAATTAGGCATTTTAGGTAATATCTCTCACATTATCTATGAATAGACAACACTCTTTAAATTGACTTTTGAGACTCCATCAGAAGGCCTGAATATATTATCTGTATGTCGGTCACTGGTGATCCAAGAATTCTGACACAGTAGAAAAGACTATCAGAGCTGGTTTTGGAGTTCAGTCTCAACATTTTACTGATGAGGAAACTGAGGCTTAGAGATTTGAAGTCTAGATCCAGTAATTTGACAGCACTTAAAGAAGCAGTTGATTACAGGCTTCTGTTCAGTCTTTATGTCAATATCTTTTCAGATTTTTCAAAGCTAAGTGAAAATATTGCTACTGTGCTACTATTCTATAATTCCTAACTTTACAAACTTTTCTTTTCACATTTTGACCCTCACAACTTCATATGTATATGCACATACATATACATATGCATTATATACCTGCGTATTTGAGAATGCATAGCAGATTTTTAAAAATGTTGAGTAGGAAAAAATCCATTTTGTTTAGAGCAGTAAAAGAAGGTTGCTGGCAGGAAAGAGGGTGATGAGGAGGAGAGAAGGTGGTAACAGGAAGGGTATGCAAGAGAACTGCAGACAAAGATGGAATGCCAAGAAGCCCACATTAAGCTTCACAGTTTCAGCCCACGTAACTGGATGGAATTTCTCACCAAGAAATCTTGTTTTATGGAATGTGTCCTAGAAAAATATCACCTTACTTTGTAGACATAGAGTAAAATCCTTTATGATTCTAAATAAATACTGTAATTATTTCAGCATTCCAGCATGTAACTTCTATTCTCATCTGTGTTCTTCTACATAATACATTTTAAACACTATGGAAAAAACGACTTCATTTGATGGAGCTCTCTGAATATTTCTGTCTGAGGCCAGGGCTCTGGGAATTGGCTTCCTGATTACCATTTAGTGGCTTATAAAATAATTTCAAGGAGCTGTCCTAATTGTTTTTGTCCCAAATGAAAGCAGGCTGCCTTGGTTTTATGATAAATTTTTAGAAATCAGCTTCTCATGGAAATATATAGGAGAGTTTTTTTTTTTCCTTAGTTAAAAATAGTTTCATTTGGGCTGTGACATTCTGTCTTGATTGGATTTCCAGAACAGTCCCATTACTCTGAGGTTTGTTGCTTACCACTGAATGAATGTCTTGGCTGGATTCTCCATGATGTCACTCCAACGATGATCAAATGATTTAGCTGCTCAGACTGTATTTTACTACATATTCACCACTAACTACATGTGGCAAATTGATCGCAAACCTATGGTTAATTGCTCAGCTGTCTAAGGAGGAATATTAGTCATTTTCTGGCTTTAAATACACAAAACAGGACAGACTTCCCTTGACTTGGCCCACCCACTTCAGTACTTCTGATGTTTAACAAGAGTGTATGAGGTTAATGGGACAATTGAAGAGCTATAGGCTGTAAAGCATTAAAATCACATTGTATGCCATATTTCTAAGAGGCACCATTAATCTAAGTTCAAAATAAATGTGTGTATGGGGCTGTATAAAACCTTCATCAAAAAAATTCTGTTTAAAAAATTTACGATATTGTGTACAAAGGATGGTTACTAACAGACTGTGGGTAACAATACAACCTATCCTCATTCCTAAAAAGTGAGTCTCAAAGTCCCTGTCCCATATAATTTGAGCAACTGAAAAAATAGCATCATTTTAAAATAATATAATTAATAGCTAGAATCTAGCTACTACTTTAAAGTTTCTAAACTGAGGTCTTCCTGATTGCAGGACTATTGCACTAGAGATGTTAAACTCACAGCCCACAGGCGAGCTGCCTGCAAAACTCCAGAGCACTGATGGAAACAAATTAAAATGGAATTGGAACTGTTTAACAAAATACATAAAAATTCAATATGACATGCATAATGTTGATTTGTAGTTTTCTAAGTCATTATGTGGTCTGCAGGGATCTATTTCTTTTTGAGATTGAGATCACTGCACTATAGCACCTACCTGCCTAGAAAGGCTAACATATAAATAGCATTAAAAGATAATACTGGTTGGAGGTTTTGAGGTATGGCAAGACATAAATATAAGACCTCACACCTAAGTTACAAAATAAATGAATATTTATCAAGTTTCCCTCTATGTTCAGCCTATTGTAGGAACTGGGCTTTGTAAGGCTCAGAGGAGAAAGATAGAAAAAGAGTTTGGTTTCTGACATCTAATGTAGCTGAAGAGAAGAGACATAGATTTGAAACTACTTAAGAAAAAAGTAGAATATGATATGCGTACTCAAGCATTAAATTATGTGCTAAGTCCTCAGAATTCAAGCCTGGAATTGGCCAGTCTAGGGCTAAATCATGAAGGAAGAATAGAGTTTGAATCGATGAGGAGAAATAGAAAGGAACTTACATAGGTAGAAAGGAATGGACAACAGCATGTACACAGCAATAAACATGGTTTTGGTGCATGACAATGTAGATACAGCCCAAATGGGATTAAAAGGTTTGTGTTGGGTTTGTGGTGAGAAATAATGCTGAGGAGAGAAGATAAAATTAGATGAAGGGTCTTGAATTTTCAAGACAAGGAGTTTGGAATGGGTCTATTATTCATTTGGGTATAATCATGGTTTCTTAAATAGAGGGAGGATAAGATGGAGATGGTATTTTAAGAAGATTGTGATGATTATATGGGCAAAATTTTTTAACAGAATGCCTTTTTTATCTGACCAATAAGGTGAACTGATAGATAACATGAGTTACATGAGAAATGAATATAGCTGCAAAAGTGACCTTTTAAAATTCATTCCTTTATACATTGCTTGTTTTGCTGCTAACTTTAAAAAAGTAATTTTTAAAAACTGAATTTGACCTATTAATAAGGTTATTATTAGATAAAGACAGTAGCATTTTGCCCTATTTCTAGTACTTAGGCTGATGCTAGAAGCAGCACTGCACGCACTGTGTTAAGATGAACAAACAGACATTTTAGAAACTAGATCACAGATCTAGATTATAGATCCTTCTTAAAAATTAATCTCATTGCGTGCCTCCAGGGACTCTATGGGAAACTGCTTTATCCTGCGGCTTGGTCATAGCAAGAATTTTGGTACCAAACAAAGAAATTTGAGAGTACATTCTAATTCCAATTGTGAGGGCAATCTGTCGTCAATTGAACACTAGACCTGATTTAACTAAACTAGTTTGCTAATATATGAGTGTCTCTTTCTTTCCCTCAATATTCCATGCACTGTGATTCCAAAGACTTGTGACTGATTGAAGAAGACAATTTTGCCCCATGAGAAGCCAACTATTCTTTGGTCATAGGTAGAAGAATATTTTCCAGGTAGAATTCCACAAATGAGTTCTCAAGTTCCCTTTGTATGTGCTTTACAATACGCACTTGGCTTAAAAAATAGTTCCAGCTTTGACTAGAATGAAGAATATATATATAATTAATGTAAATGGGGTTGTGAAAAATCACATACCTGTCTCCATTTGCTTCTCATTCATGAATTTACTCTCAACAGTCCCCGTCACAGTTGATGCATTGGTTTCTCCTTGGTACAAAATCTTGTACTGCTCTCTGCCTCCTCTTTTATCAAATGTTCACTGGTTACATTCTTATTTTTTTTTCTGTCCAGAGTAGTTTCATCAACTTCGCTTTTGATTATTGTTAGATACCAGGCTATAATCTAGGTGCATCAGAACTCATCATCCTTTAATCAACATCGTCTTCTTTACCAAAACTAAAGTTAATAACTTATTCTTTTCCTAGCAATCCAGCAACCAGAACCATGTTGTGATTTGAAAATGAGCACTGTAATATTCTAAAGGATTAAGTGGCTGGCATTTTTTTTTCAGTATGCCATAGTATAGTATGCATATCCTATAATTCTTTATTGAAATCACAGAAGCTGATAATTTAAATACCCTTGAATGCAGCCATTGCTAAGAACAATCACTGACTATATAGCTTGGCATTTTGGGGGAGGTGAAAAGTTTAAAAATAGATGCTTGTATCAAGCTACTGAAACCTAGTCCTCATGCTCTAAGTTTTCTTCCCCCTTCCCCCATCTCTAAGGAATTTTTTAAAAAGAAGCCACATCAATAAATGCAGAGCTGCAGTGTCACTCACCATATCATGGTCTGAGACGGGTCCAAAGCTGGTGACGAAGATATCAGTCTTCACTTCAGTTACACGCTCTGATGAAGCAGGAAATTGGGACAGTGAGTGTCTATCAACAATTCTCATTAGATCTCCCCACCACAAGCTCACACCCAAATGGGAAATTTATGGCCTTTGATTAGCTATTTCTAAAATTGGTCTGCAGTGTAGTCTTGATAATTTACTGCTTACACAGGAAATTTCACAGTTGATATTTTCAGCAAAGAAGAAAGTTGAAATATGCCACTTTGAGAGACAGTATAGTATTTTGCTAAATGTATAGAAATTCTTGGTGAGGACTCCATTCATTTCCATTATTGTCTAATCAATTATTTATTAATGGACAAACATGCTCTTACTAATTATACAAAAAATCTCATATTATAGTCAAAATAAATCATGGTAAGCATTTTTTTCAATTTTTATTGCTACCATCTGTTTATCACCCATATTTCTGAATATATCTCTCCTCACTGCACTAGCCAGAAGATCATCCCTTGCAATAAAGAATGAAAAAAGAGGGGGAAAAAGTTCAGCAAATTAAACCAAGCCATCAACTGACCCTGATAGCATATACAAAGTTCCAACCTAGTACCTCACCTCTTCAAAGAAGAGAGGGAGGAACATTTTCACATTTTTTAAACATTGGCTATCCTTAATCATTACAATTATAGTGTATCCAGTTCTGCTTTGCTATTTCTTTCAGTTGAAGATTTATATGGTTTAGTGTTAGACTCCTTACACATTGATCCACATTCTCTTGCCATTTGTTTAATTCTCTGGAGATATGTTCTACACGTCTGGGAACTTTATTCTCTTTAACACAATGTTGCAATTTATCAATGCCTGTTTTTTATGCACTTGGTTGTATCCAAATGATCCAAATTATTCCTTGAGAAAATCTGCCTTAACTTCTTCTGGTGTCTTCAAAGTTGGTAACAAATAATACACACATTATGGCATACAAACTGTTAATTTAATAGAAAACATTTCAAATTCAAGTTGATTTTATTTTATTGGCCTTTGGTGACATATATCTCAACCAATAAATGGAACTTTATTGCAGTTTTGTGACACTTCTGAACATCAACAATGACATTTCCTAAGAAGTAGAAGTAGAAGAAATATAGTGTTGTTTACATGAAAGAAAAAGTTGGCAAAGTACTTGAAAATCATGTGCCTGTGCATAATGATTACACAATATTCATACTTTATCAGCAATCACAATTCAGTATGTCAATTGTTTGTTAAAATAACTATGCATCTGACATAGAATGCAAAAATGGAATGCTAAGAACAAATTACCATTTAATTTCATATATATTATTTATAATATTAATATGTGATATGTGGATATAACATTAATATCTAGCATAATAATATATTACAGATAATGGCTATCTTTAATCTTTTTTTTTTCTTACTGGACCATGTATAGCAAATTTCTGGAGAAAAATTCCCTAATAGAATCACGTAATTTAGTTCAATTTGATGAAATTCCAGGAATATGTAGGTAGTATATACAAACTACTATGCTGGGTCCTGGGGATCTGCAGGTAAAAATAAGACAGTCTTTTCTCTCAAAAAAATTATGTTCTATCACAGAGACGAAAAGTACACACAAATGAGTAGAGTACCCAGAAAACTGAGAGAAGAAGAGAGCAACAGCAATGAAAGACTCCATTGGGAAGATGCCACTTGAGTGAAGTCTTGCAGGAAGAAAAAGGATTCTGAGAGGCAGAGATGGGAGAATCTGGTGCAGCTTTGTAATTGAGTATATGCACAGAGGCAGGAGAATATTGAACTCAATACATTTTTGACATTCCTGTTTGGTTGGACCATAAAGTCTTTGAAGGAGAGTTATATGCAGTTAAGCTGAAAAAAAAAATGTATTGACAGATTATGGAGTCTTAAATGCCACAGTAAGTATTATGTGCTGTAACCTAAATTCAGTGATGAATAAAGAAGCTTGTGAGCAAGAGAGGATATGGTCATAGCTGTACCTTAGAATGATATCTTAGCAATGGTGTGTTTTAAATTGTAGAGGAAAGACACAAAAATCAGGGAGAACAAATAGGAGGCTATAAAATTTGTCTAGGAAAGAGATGCTTAGGGTGTGATTTAGGTTTGTGACTATTTTGTTATGGTAAAATTGAAGACTTGTCAACTAACTCAATTTGGCATGTTAAGGGAGAGAATAGATTCTAGGTATAGAGCAAGAAATATATTGTCAGATATAGTCACTGCTTTGAGTAACTTTATATATTTTCTTATAAGGGAAGAGTCTGTGGAGGAAGTTCAGAGGTCTAGGAAAGTGACAACAGTAATAAAAATGTCAAAAATATTTATCATTTTTAAAAAAAGAATCAATGATTACTTCAAGGCTACAAGATGTAGATACATAAGAAAAAATACTTTTTTCAAATGGCAAAAAAACCAGATTTTGTAAATAATTCAACAGGTGGCCTTTACAGTATATTTGCAACCTCTTAAAAACTATCTAATATAATTGAGTCCAGGAAAATTCAAAGTTTCTCTTCATTTCTAGCTCTTGCTGAATTGCCTCTGAAAAACATAAACATGGGGTAACCAAAGAAAATGGGATTGTTACTTGATCATACCAGTCTTTCTGATTCCAGATAATCAGATTAGATTTGGAAGCAAAATTGTGATCTCATCCAACACTCCTAACAACATCAGTCTGAGATGTCATCCTGGTCTTACTGTCCAGTCTCATACTAGAATGATGGTTTAGTTGAGCTACATTATTGTTTCTTGAATTCAAAATAGACTCAATCAAAAACTTATCCTATGCTAGAATAATTTCAGAAGAGATTCGATATTGAAAATTACCTTGAGGAGAAAATGTTTTTATTCAATTCTATCAGAACTTTGATTTGATCAGTGAAATTATCATCCATCATATCTTTAACATAATGGATATACATTTATAGTTGTCCTGAAAGTACCATTCTCTCATGGTACATGACAGACTTTCAAATATTTGCCATCTTTTTATTCTTAAGTGGTTATACAATAGAAAGAATTCTTCATCGAAAAGAACAAGAGGTGATTAATTGATGTCTTCATTTTTATCTAGATAAACAAATATAGATAAACAAACATTAAAGCACCATATGCATGCTAACCAATATTTCATTATTATATTTTGCCATTATTACAGATACATTGAAAAAGGAAGTTATCCAATATTCATGTAGATCTTACAATGACTGGAACTTCCAATTTAGCATTTGACTAATTATGTGATTCAATTTTGCTTTGTTTCTAAGTCTGAAAGCCAGTACTGTCTTAGATAGTATAAGTACTAGTTAAGACAAAGTGATGTGTATGGGCTGGAGATGATGGTGATCTTTGTCAGCTTTTATTTTTGAAGGATAAACTTCAAAAAGAAGATTGACTTATATGCATTTTATGAACACAGCTGGCTTATTGATCTCTGTCTACACAGCTGCACATACCAGGCAACTTGAGGTAGATGCATTGATCTGTCTATTGTCATTAATTATATTACTCAGAGTGAAATTTAATATCTGTACTTTGTGGTAGCCCCAAGGGTTATATGGGAAGTAATTAATTCCATTAACAGTTCATTCCCAAATGTTTGAGTATCTGAGATTTATTAGCTTCCACAATGATTTAATGCTCAAAATAAACAAGGAGGCCACTGTCTCAAATAACATAGGTACATGAAAAAATTCCAACCACAAAGAGCCTGGATGACTTTATTAAGAATGGTTTATACCAAATTAAATTCATTCCCTTTATAGGTGGGTTTCTGGAAGTAAGCTTATGGAAGATCTTGCCTAATTTTCATTCAGACTCAAGGTCTGTTCTTAAGGACAAATTGCAGTGAATAGGATAAATAACAGGATGGTTGAAAGAGTGTTAATTGAATGGACATACTCAAAGAGTAATCATCAGTATTTAAATGACAACTTGAACTTTTGTTCAATGTTCCAATATCAAGTTTAATTGTGATATACTATTGCATATACATCCAATTGAGTTAGTCTCTGGGTATATGTTTATCAGCAAGAGTGCATGTGTGTTTCTAGGTAGTATGACATAGTAGATTGAGAAATAGAAATCTGGCCTCAGAATCAGGAAAACTTTGTTTCAAGTCCTACTTTTGATATACACATTGGTTGCTTGTCCTTGGTCAAGTAATCTCTCTAAGAACGTATGTCATATGTATGATGGGTATCAAATTGCTTGCCTTCTCAATGAATGGGAGAGACACTTTAGGAAGGAAGAAAATTTGGAGCTTAAATTTTTAAAATATACTATTAATTTTTTAAAGAAATAAAGACTATAATTACAGAATAGGTGCTTATCTGCACTGGTCTAAGAAATTTTCTCATCCTGGAGTTGCCTATATAAATGGAATGTGAGTTCCCACATTTGCACTGGGAACTCATAACACTAATAAAATTACATTGCTTAAAAAGGGGGCATGGGGTTAGGCAGAGCCAAGATGGTGGAGTAAAGGCAGGGACTCACCAGGAATCTCACCCAAACCTCTCCAAATACATTAAATAATGACTTTAAACAAATTCTAGAGAGGCTGAACCCACAAAAAGATGGAGTGAAGCAATTTTTCAGCCCAAGACAACTTAACAGGTTGGCAGGGTGCACTAGGATGAGAGAGGAGCACAGTCCAGTGCAGATTGCACTAGTGCAGACTGGGCCCCAGGAAACCTGGAGCAGGCCTTGGGCTAACTGAATCAGTGGCAACAGTGACAGTTTTTAGACCTCCCAGCCCACAGACAGTAAGGGGGTTGGGCAACTGGTCAGAAGGAGATTTATAGGGGTCCCTTTGCTGGTACCAGGGACAGGACTCTGTTGCATTGCTTAGATATGGATTACAGTCCTGGGTCTCAGTCCCAGGGCAAGCAAGAGTACTAGCACACTAAAGCTCACAGCCACAAGGGAGCAGGGACCCTGGTCACCGTCGCAGAATGGAAAGAGTACTTGTGGTCACTCATAGTGCACAGTACAGGAAAGTAGGAAAAAC